AAACCAACCAAAACCAACCAGAACCAACCAAAACCAACCAGAACCAACCAGAACCAACCAGAACCAACCAGAACCAACCAGAACCAACCAAAACCAACCAAAACCCACCAATACCGACCAAAACCCCAGAAAGGTTACGCCAGCGAGCAAGCAAGCAAGCCAGCGAGCAAGCAAGCCAGCCAAGCAAGCAAGCAAGCCAGCCAGCCAGCCAGCAAGCAAGCCAAGCAAGGCCAGCCAGCCAGCCAGCCAGCCAGCCAGCAAGCAAGCAAGCAAGCAAGGCAGCAAGCAAGCAAGCAAGCAAGCCAGCAAGCCAGGCAAGGCAAGGCAAGGCAAGGCGAGGCAAGGCGAGGCAAGGCAAGGCAAGGCAAGGCAAGGCAAGCAAGGCAAGCAAGGCAAGCAAGGCAAGCAAGGCAAGCAAGGCAAGCAAGGCAAGCAAGGCAAGCAAGGCAAGCAAGGCAAGCAAGGCAAGCAAGGCAAGCAAGGCAAGCAAGGCAAGCAAGGCAAGCAACGCACGCAACGCACGCACGCACGCACGCAAGCAGCAAGGCAGCAAGCAAGCAAGCAAGCAAGCCAGCAAGCCAGGCAAGGCAAGGCAAGGCAAGGCGAGGCAAGGCGAGGCAAGGCAAGGCAAGGCAAGGCAAGGCAAGCAAGGCAAGCAAGGCAAGCAAGGCAAGCAAGGCAAGCAAGGCAAGCAAGGCAAGCAAGGCAAGCAAGGCACGCACGCACGCAAGCACGCAAGCACGCAAGCACGCAAGCACGCAAGCACGCACGCAAGCACGCAAGCACGCACGCAAGCACGCAAGCACGCAAGCACGCAAGCACGCAAGCACGCAAGCACGCAAGCACGCAAGCAAGCAAGCAAGCAAGCAAGCAAGCCAGCAAGCCAGCAAGCCAGCAAGCCAGCAAGCCAGCAAGCCAGCAAGCCAGCAAGCCAGCAAGCCAGCAAGCCAGCAAGCAAGCCAACCAACCCACCAACCCCCAAAATTAACCAAAACCAACCAAAACCAACCAGAACCAACCATGGTTGCTGCTTCTGGCCTTGTGTGTTTTGCTATATAGACCCCGTATCCTGAAAAAAAATCCCCGGGAAATCTGAAAAAAAATCACCGGGGACGCCCACACCCTCATGTGGGGCACCACGATGCTGAATCCCTTGCAATACAGGGCAGGTCGGAGTGTGATTCCGCATGCCGCATGTCAGGAAGGGGCGGATGAAATAGCTGACAAGAAAGTCAGCTTTGCCGTATGCTCCTGAGGGGGTTGCCGTTGTTGGATCGTTTACACAGGGCTGAGGATGCTGCAGATGGATCGAACCACAGATGACTTAGGATGCACAAGACCCAGCAAGCAAGAACGGTTCTCAAGCCTCATCCACTCGCAAAGGCGAAAGAGAAAGCGAGAGAGAGGGAGAGGGAGAGGGAGGGGAATTTGGCCAATTCATCTTGGATCAGTTTGTTGCAGGAACTGGCTACGTGGCCACGCAGAATTTGCCAGAGTCGGAGGACGAGGAAGATGAGACAGATGAGATACAGGCAGGGAAAGCAGAACTTGCATGACCTTGCTCCATCTTCCATCTTGGTGTGAAACTCTCTGGAGTTACTTGCTTCGGGGATGTTTGTGGATGTTTGACGATGTTTCTGGCTGTTGCTGGATAGTTGTGGATGTTGGATGATGGATGCTTATGGATGCTTATGGATGCTTATGGATGCTTATGGATGCTTATGGATGCTTATGGATGCTTATGGATGCTTATGGATGCTTATGGATGCTTATGGATGCTTATGGTCGCCTGTCAGATCAAGGTGTTTTTCTGGCAACATTGCAGCATTGACTGTGAGGCTCCACCAGGTTGTGGTGAGCGGAAAGTCAGTTTCTCACAGGCAAGCTAGTTTTTCGCTTGCTGTGTGGCCGTGCAGCAGGATGCAACAAGTCTCTTCCTCTCTTTGACCGGATTTCCAGCAGATTTTCGGATGGTTTTTGATTCCGATCTGGCTGAGGAGGCTGGTTCAGACTTGGAGCGGGTTCAATCAATGAGAAAAGGCGCGGTGTTTTTCTATGTTTTTCTTGTTGCTTTTCGTTTTCGTTTCTCCTTTAGATTCCTTTGGATAAGATTTCCCTCAATTCCTCTTGGTCAGGCACAGGCTTCGTACCCATGAGGGACTTGCCAGATTCAGATGATGAGGACAGCAAGGCGGAGTAGGGCCAGGTTACAATGAATTGAATATGTAGGCAGATGATGGCAGATGAATGGCA